CGTCTTTAAATGTCTTAACATTCTACAGTGTCGATTTTTATGCAGCTAAGTTATAAAGATAGAGAGAGAGAAGAAAAACTCTATCGTGCAAGACAATAAAAGGCACTATGATTCGAAAAAGATATTAATATTTTATCTGGGGTAATTATTTCCAACAGTCGGTTATTCATCAAAAAAGAATCTCAACTCAAGGCACATCCATATCCAGGATAAACATCTTAGAATTATATAACGTGCTAAAATGAAAAATGAAAATCTCAAGCCACACGGGCATTATTTCTTTGTTCAGTTCGTTTGGGGCGTATGAAGAACTCGAGCCAACTCCAGTAGGGACTTCCACCTCAGCTACTAACATACTTCAAAAGCAACTTTACTTCTTCATCCACAAACACTCTTTTAGAGCAGATCCCAGAACCGGAGACCATCTCTCCGCTTTCTCTCAACATCTCGTTCTGAACCGAAGACAATTTACCTAGCTCAAGTAAACACACATACTTCAACTTTCTCTTTCTTTTTCTACAACCTCAACCACATTGTTAAAGGAATTTAAACTAACAAGAGGCTCAAATCAAACACACATACTTCAACTTTTCTCTTTCCTTTTCTACAACCTCAACCACATTGTTAAAGGCATTTAAACTAACAAGAGGCTCTGAAAAATAACTACATTCAGCAGGTGAAAGGTCAAAGAACTCCAACAGCGTACACCAAAAATAATGAAGCCAAAAATTATAACACAACATGCTATAAATTTCATTTCCTTTTTCACCCCATTTTTGTAACTTCAAAAATAAATTAGAGGCCCTAAAACTGAGCATTTAAACTATGAAATTAAAGCATTTTGACAGATATGACACAGCATAAAATGCATAAATAAGCTACAGAGATTTATGGTACAAACACATGAACATATATGTACATATAATTTTTCTTTTTCTTCTTTTCATCATTCTCATAGCACACATGAAGAATCATATGAACTGAGGTTAAACCTCTGAAACTTAGTCACTTTTCAGCAATATAAACATGCTAAAAGGCCACAGCAAGGTCATAACAAAAACAACTAACATGAGGCCAAAACAAGCATTTCACTTATCTATTTCTCTCAATAACATTCATACATACTAAGGGCTTTATAAACCAAGATTAAAGCTGCAAAAACACGTCATTTTCAGCAAGATAATAACACATTAAGCTCAGCATATAAAGGGCAACAACAATGGGTATATTCAACATACAAACTCGGCCAAGAGAAAGCCATGAGGTTCAGCCAATTTACCTCACGTTTCTGGGAAACGGGCCGGTTCGCTGCAGCCGGGACACCCTCAAGTCCTCGAGAGCAGCTCGACTGCGCCTCAGACCACGAAAAGCCCACTGTCGGATGGTGCTCAAAACACCAGAAAAAGTCCCTCAGCCCGGGCACTGTCCAAACGGCGGCTGGTCAAACACCCAGTCACTGCTCGTTCGCATTAAATAACTCGAAAAACGACTCAGCCCGCCTCGGCTCTCGATGGTCCCTCTGTCCGGCGGTTCTTGGCGGCTGGCGCGGCTGTTCACGACGGCGGCTCCCCCTGGACGGCTCGCGAGCGGTTTGCGCGTCTCCCGACAGACATTGGCTGCCCTCGGCGTCGGTCGAACGTGGCAGCGGCCCCACTTCGCTGGTCTCCGACGGCGTCGCCGGCGTGGCATACGCGGATGCCGCTCGTGGTCAGGGACAGCAGGGTTCTCGGTTGCTTGAGGAGGCGTCGTCGGAATCGCTCAGCAGCACAAGGTCGTTTCAGTCGCGCGCTCATCTCGCCGGAAGAGTTGAAGCTTCAGGTCGCCGGAATTGTTGCTGGGCTGCGACGTAGAAAGGATGAGGCTCGCTGTTGCTGCTTGTTTCTACCGAGAAGGGAGAGAGACGACGGGAATTTTGAGGAGGAAGGAGATGAGGGGCGATTTGCAGAGTTCTGGAACGGGAAGAAGAAATGAGATTGCGGCGCTCGCTCTCTCTCGCTCTCGCCTTTAATAGAGGGGAGAAAAATAGGGTTCGGCCAAAGAGGGTTACTTGGGCTGCTGTTGGGCCGAAAATTAATAAGTGGGCCCGTTTGTACACAGATAGACTGAAAAAGGAACAAACATTAGTTAAATAAAATGGGTCGAGAGACGTCTGAACTTGAGATCGAAAATGAACGATTTCCATTTAACAAATAAATAAATAATAAAATAAATACAATCATATACAAATAATGACGGTACAAAACTAATTAAAGGCAGGCTAACAATTAGATAGAGGTAAGCAGATAAATAAATACAACAAGTAATAATAATTTAAGGCAAACAATTACATAATAAAAGCAAGTAATACCAATTAAAGACAAAAATAATATAATAGATACATAAACATATAATTCGAATGGGCGTTACAGAAACCCTTCACAAACTTTAAATTTTGAAACAGAGCAGCGAAGTCCAGTATCGCCGGTATCACGCTGGTTCTTCCGGGACGAGGCACCCCGGTTGTGACCAGCCCTTGACATTGATCTTGTTGTCCTGATATGGACATGATTTTCGTCCGGATGATGAACACGAACACAAATACTGAGAACTTATGTGACTCTTGTGTATGGAATCGAAGATTAGTTCCAAACAACTTATAGAGTCCTTCTTTCTATCGCCAAACTATTGTTATCGATAATTAACAACGATAATAACTTGTAATTAATGATGTAAAACGGTATAAAGTGTTTAGCTTTGGGATTATCGTAAGATTGAATTGTTACAGGAAGTCGGTTTTTGTATGAACCGAGTAGATTTTACATGTATTTTCTTTTTGTCTGAAAACTGAATCCTCGTACAGGAATTAATTCTCTTATTTATAGTAACTTTTGTTGGCTTTATGTTCAAGGTTGGTACGGCCGCATTTAATGCGATTTGTACTGTAGTTGGACCCACAAGTTATGATGACGACATGTGTGGAGGGCAGTTTGTTCAATTGGTCGCGTAGGCGCCTCGTCACCACCTTTGAGATCGGTTGATCGCGTCGGTTGATCGCATTCGCATGTACTAATTCACGCTTTTTGGACGCTTTATTTATCATCTTAAAACTAAATTGTGTACCATCAAAGTTTTTTATATACATAAAATTGTGGACCAAATTTGTACCATCCAAATTTGTTATATACTTTAAAAAATTATGGTTTAACGTGGTGTAAGAATGTTTTTTAAGGATATTTTACCATTATTTATGAATTTTAATTCACACATTTTCACGTGTACCATTATTCACAATTTTTGGTCGTTTCATTTTTTATCACAAAACTCAAATTTTATTATCAAAAATTGTTACTATACATAAAATAGCGATGTAATGGATGAAAGAAAGTTTTTTTTGGGCTCTTTTACCATTATTTATATTTTTTTACTTTTTTACCATTATTATTTTTTGGTTGTTTTAGTTCATATGATCCCATAAAACAAATATAAATAATGGAATGCGGTTTCATTATAACATAACTAGATTTTAACTTATAATAAGCTTTTGAGAAAAACAGGAGCAAAATATCCACCACGGCACAACTCAAAATGACGATAGATTGACCTCAAAAACATAACAAATTATTGCCATGCCTTGGAGATTTCACAGTACTCGTTTGCCAGTCATGTTACGCAAATGCCAAAGTCGTGCCTTTTGGATGACCTGTTTGCCAGTGGCCAAGTTACTGCCTTAAGATTTTTACCTGTTTGGACATTCATATGCACTTAAAAGTTTGAAACGAGCACAACCACAGTCGAGCCCCTTCCTGAAATGATCGTTTATGCTTCATGGCAACAGGATTACATACCCCACGAGATTCTGTACAACAAAAAAGAAAATCAGACATATTGTTTACTCAACTCTGAAGAGGACAAAAAAAAAAAAACNAAAAAAAAAAAAAACCAGAAACCTAAGAAAGGTATATCTGGCTAAACGATGCCATACCTCAAAACTGAAGTTCACAATCCAATGTAGTGCTTTATGTTATTATCAATATATTGTTATATATGTGTGTGAGGGTTTGCCATATCTACAATGGATTCTCATCCGTAGATGCCTGCAAGTTCAGAGCTGAGACCCAAGTTTGCAGGGTGCAGAATAGGGTTTTTCGGTGTGGGAAACTACTACATTCCACTTCAAATTAGTATTTTATCAACGCGGGTAGTGATGCATAGAGTTCGGCTAAGCAACGAAAAATCCACTCCAGCAACTGTTCTCTTGGTAATTCCAGAAGTAGCTCAGCCTAAATCACAAGGAGTGACAGAATTGAATATGAGATAGTACATACCCTTATTTATGAGAGCTAGTAAAATGTATGAGGCATTTGCAATACCTTAAAGATTTCAACAAATCAAGTACATGCAAATCTATGAGAACTAGTAAATGTATGAACTTAAAAGAAGATACACTTGTATATAACTATTGGCACATATTCAGCTCATGAACTCAAAAGATGACAAAAATCAAGAAGACATGGCTAGAGAGAGTGTCCCCAAAAGCAAATATATGTAACCTCACATTTAACCTTGTGCTACAAACCTAGACGTTGCAACAATTCCAACAATATTTAGTACTTGAATAAACAACAAAAAGACCTGGGAGATTCAACTCTTCTACTTATCCTTTAATAACAAATAACTAAGGATTTTACTATGTTCACATAATTTCATAATTTCATTTACATCATGGTGTTTGTACACTCCACATAAGGAGGGCCCCCTCAAATATTTTATTAAGCAACTCACCACTCCATGTGAGTGTACTCTCAGTACGTACATAAAATGATGTACACCTAGCATAACTCGTTGATTGAAAAAAAAAAGTATGGACATACCTTGATTGAACCATCCTCGAATACAATGGAGCTTCGGTGTGTTTCAGATGGCATTGAATCCTTCATCATCTTGAAAACCTTTTCACTCATGCTTGTTTTCATGCCCACCATCTTACCTGAAATGTATATTTCAGTAATTCCTAAATCTGCCGCCATTCTTCTTATATATAGCTTCTTCAACAGAATTTCCATGGAGTAAGGCTCTTTTCCATAATGGCGGTGCAGATCCTCAGTAAAGAGAACTAGATTCCAGATGTCTCTTTGAGCAGCATTCTCAGCTTCATTAATTATTTCCAAGGGATTCTCCAGATGATTTATGTATTGAGAAGGGAGATGGGGCTTCAAATCGAGATCAAACTGCACATGAATAGGAATAGTATGATCATGAATTGTGTTGATATGCCTAATTCAAAATTTCGAAGTCATCAAAAATTTGTTTATCTAATAAATTCACTGCATATTTGAAGTGAAAGTGAAAAGATGGATATATCCAAAAAAAAAAAAAGCAAGGAACGGGTTTTGCCAAAGCTCCCGAATCAAACAAAATGAATGAATGAATCATTATCTTTGTTTTCTGGGTTTAGTTACACATTTCAAGTTTTCAATTCTTTTATTTTGAAAGTAATTATCACTTGGTATGGTCCACCGAACAACATTAAACCTTTGCCATTGACAATATAATATCTTTTTGATGGTGAAGAAGTCAAAACTTTAATCTTTAAGTTTAACAAACTCCTTCCTCAGCTGTAAATTGAGTTTTCTTTGAATAATTTGTCATATTTTTGGTGCGGACAATGACAATAAAAAAACAATCTTCATTTTATTGTTGATCCTCAAACGATTGCATAAACACCATGCCAGAATAAATATGAAAACCTGTGTTCTCATAATAAACTACCACAAGCACAGTAGATCATGTTCTCTTTTTAAAGATATCCGTAGCAATGAATCTTTTGAGAATTGTTGGTTAGATTGCGGAAATCAGAGTTTTCAGATAAAACTTCTGGAGAAAGCTTCTATCTCAATTCTCTGACGTAGCAATACTTCTAGAATAGTTAGATTTACATCTGCACTACACACATCCTGAACACTCCTAAAAGCACCAGTTTCAGTCCCAAGACACTAATACAAAATAGTAGTGCTAAAAAAAATAATTCAGAAACTCAAGAAACCACATAGGAGATACAACTAAAATGATCATGGACTCAAACGTTGTAGCATAGCATAAAAGGCTTTGACATGAAAATATCTTTTTCTGTGACGTCATGTTAAAAGTAAGCAATACCTGCACTGAATGGTAAGGACGGAGACTAAACGGTGTTCATCTACCTGGAAGTTCAAAAAACAAAATTCAACTCTGAAAAGAAGGATACATGTGTAGGGAGTTTAAGGATATTGTTACGAATTTCTCTGACAAGTAAATCGTCAGAAGATTATAAGACATGATTTTAGCATGATGTCTATAAATATATAAGCAACTATTCTGAAAAATAATTTGAGGACCTGCATACCATGGACAGACTCTCAAAAAGCATTTCAAAGAAAAGATCAATCCCAACATTTCCAACATCCCCTGTTTGCTGCTCTCCGAAGATATTCCCAAAGCCTCTAATGCCCATGTCTCTTTCTGCAAGTTGAAAACCTTGTCCAAGATCTCGACATTCTTCTAGAGCAGCAAGCCGCTCCTGAAGGGTAAAATGAAAATGTTATTTTAAACGAACTAAAGAAGTGGAATACTTTTCTTATTATTGTTTTATTTTGTTATAAGAAATAAGAAATAATTAACAATACTAAAGAAATAACAAAAACAGAACAACTGCAGAAAGGTGAAATAAGGGAAAGAAAATGTATTAGCAAAGACATGAGCAACATAAATGACTCTTATCGTCAGTATATTGTTCAAGCAGATGGTAGAAAAAAGAAGAACGTACAAGTGCCAGATCAGAAAGCAGTGACTTATCCGGGTAAAATAAGTACTCGTGAGCCTCCTTATCTGCTCGGCCCACTCTTCCACGCAACTAGACATCAAAGTATGTAATTGTTCAGAGATATCCGACACAAAGAGACAAAAATAACTATTCACGCAACAGATGGCTACTACATATTTGTATTGTTAAGTTCAACATAATCATGCTTGGCACTTTAATATCCTGAATGTCCAGTTACATATTATTTAGTTGTTTTATTTCATATTTCATATATAAAACACACACACAAAAACACGCACATATATATAAGTCTAACACCTATGTGTTATTGTGAAACACAACCAAATTCTATGAAAAAAAATAACTATTTCCTCAACTCAAATCATAGCGTAGTATCATCATTCATCAAGGACAGACTATAAAATTTTTACAAAGAACCATTCAATCATATATATTAGAATGACCACAGAAATATCAATATCATGTAGGTCATTCATTATCAACATTTTCAATCATATAATCACCCAATATAAGGCTTCGAAAAAATAACTTTTAGCCAGGAATGCCCAAACTGCCAGCAGGTACTGTTGTAGAAATGGGAGCATTGATTAAGAAGGAAAAGCCATGGCGTGAGTGATGGCAAGGCAAGACCTAGTTGCCTCGAAAAGCTGTAGGAGGCGCACGTGTTAAAGACACCATCAAGGCGCTTGCCTCACATGGGATGACACCTCAGTGTCACCCCGAGCACCGAGATGCAACTTAAGTTATTAGGTTATGGTCTTTCACTAATATTTCTCAGTTACTCCTACTTTCTCCAACAAAGCCTAAATTACGTCGTGCCATCTTAGGCAACGTAATTCCGGCGGTGCTCCGCAACCGACAATGGCAGCAGGCGTTTGGCTAGGAGTTACATGTTATTCTCTTTCTCTTTATTTCCTTTCGTCTTTTTTTGATTTCTTTTCTGTCTTCACTGCTTCAGGACTCTCCGCAGACACCACATTTTTCAACCATAGACGCACAAATTGGCACTCCCTGGCGGTGCTGCTTCCAAAAGTCGTTTCACCTTCCCCCTCCTTTACAACGCCACATCTACAGGTTTCCCTCTCCCTCGTTGGTCGGGCAGTTGAAAGTGAAAGATCTAAAGTTTTTAATCAAATGATGCATACGTTTTAGGACCCATTGAGAAATAAACCTCATAGTTTTTGGAAACAAGGTTGTCTTCAGGCGCAGAAAATCTAGGAGCATTATTTTCGCCAGTATTCTCTGTCCTAATATTTTCTTCTCTTGCATTTATTAAGTTGCTTAAGGTCATTTTTTTCTTTCATAGTTGTTAAAGTAAAAGACGAAGGTCTTTAATGGTGTCCACACAAGCATAAGTAAAAATATATCATATTTACTCCAATGCAATATTTTAAAAAGTTTGATCTAAAATGAAGCATAACCACAAATATATGTAAAAATTCATTAAAATTATTACTTTCATGCTTACTCATCGAGTTTATTGCCATATCTCAACAATGGATCCGATAAGAGATTTTAATCTATTTTTTCATGGGTCAAATTAACTAGACTTAGTTTCATTTTGTTTACACTGGAGATGATTTTCTACACAAAAGTCTAGGACCACATGAGACACAAAGGGGTGCTTGTTTACAAAATATTTCACTCACATTTATTCCATACTCAAAATCTAACTCAACTTAAACTCAACCCCACTATCTTTAATTTATTCACACATCAACTTCAATTCACTATTTATCCACTCACATATATTCAACTATGACTTCACATCATCTCTCTTACTTTTACATCAAATCAACTTTAATTATTATATTTTAAATATCATTCTCAAACTGTCAAGCATTGGAGATTCTCTAATGAAGGGCATGGGATGAAAATTTTTCCCAGCTAGGGCGGTGGCGGGTCTACGTCTCTAGGTACCCGGCCCTACATGGCCCATCAGGATCCCTAACTAATGTCAACTATAGAGGTGAGGCTCAAAGTTTCAAATCAAATTTTAACACCAAAAGGCAAACAAGAACTGTAATGCAGTTTTCTTTTTAAAATTTCATTGGGATAAATAATGGGAAGAAAAGCAATTCCGAACATCATGGCTAGCAGATGAAGATTATAACCTAGAGGATCATCACGAAAGACAAATTTATCAAATTGAAAAACCGGATATCACAAGAAAATATATAAAAGAATTGGAACAAGCAAAACCTGATACAACTGTGCAAGACCAAATAGTTGAATATCTTGAATTACTATGGTGTTTGCGTTTTGAATGTCAAGCCCACTTTCAACAATATTTGTGCATACTAGAATCTTAATATGCCCTTGTGCAAAATTTCCCATGGTTTCTTCATGTTGTCTCGAGTATTGCTGCATAACAGAAAACGCAGCACAGATAAGGAATTTTGACACAATATTTATGAACACAAATATAGCACTATGCAAAATGCTGCTTCATCACTACGTCAATAGAAAATCTGAAACTTTGTCAGGAAGAATGTAGAAAGTAGATGCTACTGGTATAACCTCATTAAATTATTTAGAATTTAATATTTGGATGTTTAGATTTCAAGAGAATTGATTCCAAACCAGATTAATAAGACGACTATGAAGAGCTAGTTCCTAAAACCATACCGGTATGCTGTTGACAGACTGACCAAAAGGAGAAAGAGACACCCAACAATATCCTACAACAGTTGACTTACGAATATCCAAAAATTTGAAGAAGGCTCAATTAATTAATTAATTAATTAACAAAAATGAAAAGAAAAAAAAAAAGATAAACAATACCTGCGAAACAGTGGAAGGATCTCAAAGTGTGTGTAATTGTAGGAGAAAAAGAAGTAACAGGTATTGGGGGGCGTCGGCCATAGTCCTGTGAAGAAGTAAAATTAGAAGGAATAGGGTTGTAAGGGTGGCGGCTATTGCTAAGCCAAACCAAGTTCGGCGGCGAGGGGCATGGCGCAGATAGCCAGAACAAGGCTGTCGCCATATCAAATATACTGCTCAATTTAATATAGCTCTAATGCTCTATCGTTTTGGTGTTTTTGTGGAGGGGAGGGAGTGATTGTGTGTTTCGGGTATTATTTGTAGGCACATTATTTAATCTAGGTTATTATTTATTTTTCACATTTTTAATCAGCGTGTTAAGTTTAAAAAACAATAGTGTTAATTTATTTTTCATCTCTTTTAATCATAGTTTTTTAGCCAGAACATTAAATATAAGCATGTTAAAGCTAGCATATAAAATAATTAATATATTATTTCATTAACACATTTATACTAATATAAATTTGATTTTAATATATATATTTATTCCTTAATATAAGAGAAAATAACATTTTTATTTATTCTTTGTTCACTATATAAAACTTGATTATTATTTTATTATAAATTTTGTTGTCATATAATGTCATCAGTATTTATAAAAGTTATAGAAGTTGTACGTCTTCTTTTTCTTTTTTATTTTATGTAATGAAAAATATTTAATGCACGTTAATGTTATTTATTTATGAAATTAATTTAAAATATGTAAATAAATTTAAAATTAAATAATATATAAATATTTTATAAAATATACACACACGCTTACTTAGAATTTAATTTTGTATATTAATTAAACAACTTTGATTTAGCAAATGTCAAAAACACAATCTCTTAAATAGTAAATTATATTAATTTGAAGAGTAATTTATTTTTTATATATAACGAAATAAAGCTGAAGAAGAAATTATATTGACAAAGATTATTTCACCAATTTGATTTCGCCTGATTAATTGGAAGAAAAAATTTTATCTAACCTGTTACGATTTCCTATAAATATTTTTGGATAAAAAGTGAATAGTTTTTAAAAAAGCTAATATTATAGTTAGAACTTCAAATATGTTCTAATATTTATCTTGACCAAAATATTATCAACATTAATCACGAAAAATCAATCTTGAATTTATTATAATGGATATCAATGAAATTATTACAGATATTAATAAAATTATTTAAGGAAACAATATTTTTGATCATATCTTATTTGATCTAATTTAAAACCATGTATATGAAGCAATTAATGCATATATTTAAAAAGTTTCCAAAAAAAATATGCATTAAATGCTCCCAAATTTTTTTACTATTATTTTAGTAAATGGTTATTCTTATTATAAATATATAGATTATATTCGATCTTAACCGGGATCTTTATTTAAGAGCCCTAGTCAAAGGTCTTTTTTGTGCAAATGACCTCCATTCATTTTTTATAAAATGTGGTAACTACAAGGTCAATAATACCTTTATGTTATATAACGAATGTTCTTTCGTTTTTTATTATGATATAACGAAAGTAGTTTCGTTATCTGATATTTATCTTTTTGTTAGAACGTATTATATCTTAAGTCCTAATTCTTTACTTATTTCTTGAACTTTTTGTTCAATTTTATATCTTTTATTATTAGGTTTTATGATTACTTCAGTGCAAGTATCTATTTTTGAAGAACTAGCTTCATTTTCTTCATTATTCCGCTTGGGAATAATGTAGTCTATTTTAGGTCTAACGAAAGATGAAGTTCTATGTATTTGAAAAGATCTTTTAGGTGCTTCTACTTGTAATATAAGTAAAAAAAAATTTATCAATTTCAATTTTATCATGAGGTTTAAATGACAAACTATGATGACTGTTAGTGATCCATCCTCGAGTATAAGTGGTCTAGCGTTTTGGTGGCATTTGCTCTGGCGGTTACATCTTCCGCCAAAAATAAAATCATTCATGTGGCGTGTATCACACTGGGCGATCCCTTCAGGAGAAAACCTCCACTGAAGACATATTAATTTATACGTCAATTGTCCTAGATGGGGGTGTTGTGAATCAAATAACCACGCTTTCTTCGATTGTTGGTGGGTGAAGAAGTTTTGGAAACGGTGTGGTTGGTGGAATGAGATCTCGAAATGGCGGGGACAACATTTATGGATGAGGCTTGTGAGTATCTCAGATGGCTGCAAGAAAGCGGATTTCAAGCTTTTTGTTATGGCTCGTGTGGCAGGATAGAAATTTACTTTTAAAGGGAGGTCGTTTGAGTGATATTGACGTGATGATAGATAAAGGCTTAAGATGGGTGAAGGACTACGATCATGCCCAGCTTGCACTATTTCCGATCATATTGGTAGCGTCGTAAAGGATCATTGGGCTTGGAAGGGAAGAAAAGGGAATGAAAATGGTTGTTATCTTCAATGTGATGTAGTTGTACGAGATTCTGAAATTGGTTTAGGAGGCTGGATAAAAAATTCAGAAGGCCTTGTAGTAGTTTGCATCTCATATGTCATGTTCATTCTCTCCAACTTTGGCTGATGCTTTGTCTATTCAATTTGGGTTACGGTTCGCTTCTACAAAGGGAATGAAGATCAAACAAGTCACAACGGATTGTCTTGAAGTAGTGCAAGGCCTGATTGCGAATGATTCACATCACCCTTTTGAAAGTATTTTCTCGAACATGCTGGCACTCTTAGATTCATTAGACTGTAAGCATACCAATTGACTTCATAATGCAATTGTTCACGCCATTGCTAAGTGGACAATAGGATCCAAAACCACGATAATGTGGTCAGATTGTATTCCAGTCTTTTTTTATCCTATGTTTTGTAAGAACTTGATGGTGTAATAAGATTATAAGCCCTTTTTATTAACAAAAAAAAAGACAAAAAAAAAAAAATCAAATGGAGTCACGTGTCCGTGTGGATCAGTGGATGTGGTAGAAAACATGCAATTTAGTACAGGATAGCGCACCTAATAATGCAAGAATACATGACTAAAATTGAACAGAAGAAAATAAATAAAAATAACTAGTGACGGTGTATTCAGTTTCAGCAAATTACAACCACGCCGCATCCAACATCTACAAGACAACTAAAATGGACATCTTCTAAACACTAGAAACTATCACACTCTTAAATTTTCAGGTTTTACGCCATTGGAAGCAAAACAAAGGACCTGAAATTCAAAGGCTGCTCATAGTCATAATACTATATTTCAAGCAGAAGAAGATCCTTGTTTAGCTTTCAGTACAAGTTCTTTGGTGGTTGTGCCGATGATCTCATTCGCCCTCTTTAGCCCAACGCTGTAATACCTTCTAATTGTATCCTAATATCATTACAACAAACAAGTCAGTTATGGTTACTCAAACAAATGAATGTGTTACTTATTATTACATCTCAAAAAACCCAAAAGCAGCAAGAATAAAATTACATATCCAACCATGCAAGTTGAGGGAGGGATAGACTGTAGCGCCTCATTTGTTCCAGAATAATTGGATATTATTATTTGACATTTATTTTGTAATGCCCATTTGAATATTAGATTTTTCTGATTTTTTTTTATTATGTGATTATATATATTATATTATTAGGTGGATAATATAATTATATTCTCTGTTAAATTCTATTCAGTAATCGAGCCAGTTTAGAATTTTATTCTGGTCCATTTATTTTAGAAATAGATTTTATTAGTAGGGATTAATTATTTTTATTGTTATTATTATTATTTAAAAAAAATTATATATATGTGCAATTTATTTAATTCTTTTCTGGTTGTTATTTTATCGCGCGATTAAAACCGAGCCCGAGAACCAAACCCGCACAGCCGCCCAAAAACCCGGTTCATTTAATATGTGAGTGTGTGCGCGTATGTTTTCTCTTAAAAATCTAGAAAAGTCTAACAAATTTTTATATTATGCATATATACATATAGTCTTGTATCTATCTTCTTCCTCACATGGCAAACACAAGATGTATCTATTTCTCTTTCACGTGAAGCAGCATCTTGATCCAAAAATCACTCTCCAGCAACATGTTTTTCTTCCTTCTTAAAACCCGATCTCGATCCATTTTTTTTCTCTCATCTATCCCCTCTCATCATACTCATCGCCATCCCCCATCACTATCGTTGCCGGCGAGCCTCTGCAACTCCGACCGCCATCACCATCGTTGCTGTTCCTGCTCGCGAGACACCGCCGCTGAAGCCGACGACGCAACTCCTCCTCGCCGTGAATCAGAGAACACAACGCCCAGCCAACCACCTCGCTGCCGCGACCCAGATTTCCGGCGAGTCTGACTCTTCCGCGAGCAGCATCTTCGCCTCGACTTCCAGCGACCAACTGCTGCACCTTCGTTCCCGGCAAGACGCGAGAAGCCGTCGAGCCGACGTGCCGTTCGTCTCTTTTCGTTTCATTTTTTTTCGAGCCGTTGTTCGGCCCGTTTTTCCTCCGTTAGTTCTTGAATTTTCGAAAGCGGGTAACTCATTCGAACCCTCTCGTGATTCCGGTCGTGTTCGTATATTACATGATAGATATATATATATCATACGTGTTATCGAATTTTTGTTTGAAGTCGGATTTATTTCGAATGGCTTACCGTCTCGTATATGTCGTTTCGTTTATCGTGTTATGCTCGTGATCTTGTTAAACCGAATATCATGTTGTTGCTGTGTTGAACCTCAATAAGCTCGTTTATTTGCTGTCGAGAAAGTATATTGATCGTTGTCGAGTTTCGAACCATCCGTTTTGTATTCATTGGTATTTTATGTGAAAATACGTTTTTCGCCGATCTGTTGTGCCGCGTTTTAAGCTCTCGGAAACTGGTTATTTGAAAATGTGGTCTTCACATGAAATGTAGTACGTTCAGTTTGCTAAACCTAAGCTTTGAAATTTCTCGATTCCGAGCTATATCGATAAAGTTATGATTTTTACAAAAATGTTGCGCGTTCAGTTTTCCTGCTACCCGGCAGCATATCTGTAATTAATGTGTGACCTGTTTATCATGTCGTAATGTGCTCGTATGAACTTATACTCTTGATGAAAGTTATAGATCTATTTCTTGCCTTTCAAATGAGATTAATTTAGTGTCGATACGTGCTCTGTAGCTTGAGTTGTGCTCGTATGAAGTTAGACATGCATGAGTTGGGACTTATTAATTTGGCAGACATATGATATGGAATGTGAACTGATTTTACCCTATTAAAATGATCTTAAATGCTTCTGTGTTCTAAATAAAAGTTGTAGAGGCATGATTAAGGTTGAATTTGAGACTTGAACAATGTCAGTTGGAGGTCTGTAGCTCGGTCTAGGTTGTAAAAACTGAAGTGCTGTCCATATCATATGTTAGTTTTTGACAGATTTGCTGAACCAAATGTTTTATGTTTAAACTCACTAAAAATGTGATTATTTGCAAAAGTGACCTTCAGAAAAGTTGTAGACAATTGAGTTTTCTGTCATGTGGTTTTTGAATTTCATTAAAAACATGACTGTAGCTCCAGTTAGAGAGTAATTACTGAGGGCTGGTCAAGTACATTACCCCAGTTTTGAACTGTGACTCATTTTTTAATGTTTGTTGATTTATCACCTGCTAAATGACCTTATTTGCTTTCGATGTCTTCATAAGAATTGTAGATTCATGTCTTAGAATTCCAATGCAACTTGGTTCATGATTATATGAGTTGTGTGCTGAAAGTTATGTCGGTTTTAAAAACGCTGCCGGGTTAAGTTTTCAAAAATTTATGTGATATTTTCGGAAATGTGTTTTTCCTTGTTTAATGCGTGCTTAAATGATTTCGTGATCTTAGTTAGACAGTGATTATAGAATAGTCTTTGATAAGGCTATTTTACTAATGTAGGTGTTTGACGAGTCAACCTCGCCGCCTACACTTATTTTGTGTTTATTTCGATCGCTACCAAGTGGGTTCATTTATGTTGAATCTACATTTATCGCACTTGTTATTTCGTATAAATGTTTGTCACGATAGTTTCTGTATGCGTGAGAACCCTAGTCTAAGTGTCCTGACGGTAGTGCCTTTGACGAATGCATAATCAGTGGAAGTCACCTGCCCGTCGTATCCGGGAGGTGGGCGCCCGAATCCGTGTAGAGCGGAGAGGATTGTCTGAACGCCCGAATACATGTAGAGCGTAGGGGTATTTCAACTTCACTGTCTTCTGGATAATATCCTATGCCCGTTGCATCCGGGGTGGGAGTGCTTCGAGTTACATCCTTGTCGATGTCTGGTCGGAAGGTTTGTTGTATGTACATAAGAGGTTTGCGACAGGACCTAATAGGGAGTTAGATCTGGATTCTATGCATACATTAATTATAGTTATGAATCTTTATGCGAAATATATTTGTGCGGTAATGGTGAGTATGATGGTTGTACTCACCCCCATTTACTTTTCTGTCCTCTTGTTCCTCTTCCTATCTTTTTAAGTTGAGCATGATTGACAGCGACAGCGAGAAACGATCGAGTGGTGATCGTTCCTCTTGTTCCTCTTCCTATCTTTTTAGGTTGAGCATGATTGACGGCGACAGCGAGAAACGATCGAGTAGTGATCGTTGGATTGTATGTTACTTGCTTCCGCTTTTATTATCTCGATAGACCATTTGTTTAACTTTGAATAATTATGCTTTCGTTTTAATTATTTTAAACATGTTTGTTTGACCACGGATTTTTCCGTTGAATTTTTAATTATGCATGACTGGGTTTGAGGATTATGAATAATTGAAATTTTATTTTGAACTGTTAGATTTTATTTATGTAAATGTTTATTTGTTTTAGTAGTTTATGTAGCGCCCGTTGAACGTTGAAGTTTTAAATTGGGATTTGCAAAAAATAAACTCTGATTTTTATAAATAAATTCGGTAAATTATTTAAAATAAAACAGGGCGTTACATAGACAGAGACCTTGTTCGATACTTCAACTCACAGAAATGATTTCATAACATACTCATAAATATATCCTTTATATGAAGGTAAGTAAAGTAATGCTAATTGAATCTCACGCGACAAACTATGCCCAATTTCTCCAATTTGTGAACCGCATCATCAACATCAAAATTACAGCGTTCACCACATTCATCTCGTATTAATTCCTCACATTGCTGGTCAAGATCCTGTTCACGTAAAGAATATTATGTATATTAAATTGTAAATATCTAGCTCTAGTCAACAGAAATCTGCAAATATAGAAAGGCACCATCTCTGCTTACCTCCAAAGTGGCTTTCCCGTTTTCCATCAATATGAAAAATGAAATTATGACCTCTTTCACCTGCAAATTTGTGATAGAGAAATTTAATTTAAGAAATTGAAGTGCATTAATCACTAACGACAATTCATATTCAACAATCCGTACTGTATAACCATTTACTCATTTAAAATGTCAACAGCCCTAACATGCTTTACTTGGAGAGAACATAAACTCCCATCAGCATTCCATCAAACCCAGAGGGAAAGAGTTTACAATGTCCGATTCTACTGATTGGATGTTTATAAGAAAATTCTTTGTGATAATAACTTCTGCGATGAAAAATTAGTTCACATTGCATGTTTTTTCTGTTATACATGCTTCTAGACTACATATATGAAGCTCAAAGTATCATGACTTAAAATTGGCATAATAACTAAAGTTTTATCATACTTCTTGCTGAATTACATCATCACACAAGTGAAGAAGAGTGCCCCTTCGATACATAGATTGAGTTATTAGGTTCTGATAAGTAGCCATATTCTGTTGAAACCTGACAATTAGATACAAGCAAAATCAATACCAACCAAATAGACAGACATCAGAGTAAACCATCAAAATGGAAAAACAAATGAAACCTCAGAAAGTCCACAATCAGCATCAGATCATTACTAATACAAGTATTGTGAGCCTGCCCGCTAAAGTCAAAAAACAGCCTCTTCACAACAAATTAAGTCTGAAGATTGGATGGATTAGCATGCTACCCATGCACAATCCATTATGTAGAACGTGAACACAATCAAATTCAAGAAAGCAGCAATTTTCATTTTCTAAAAGACTTACAAAAAAATCATAAACACTGAGAGAAAAAGGAAGGAGAAAAGTTACAAGGCAGGAAATACTTACGTGAAGTAAATCTTAGAACAATAACCAATCACTGTGGAAAGAATAGCAAAAATCACCCACAGGTCAGCTTTGGGCATTTCAACAGATCCAACAACAGCTACCTGAAAGAGTCCCCTAAAATATAACCGAGTGAAAAATGTATGGAACTGAAGGGTACAAATGGCAACAAGTTGACTAACCAGTCCTACAACTGCAGATATAAAAAATTTAACCCAAATAGGTAATAGTAATTCAATAACAATTTATATCAGATAATACCTGTAGACAACAATGATCCTATCAAAAGTGGGTTCTTGAATTGTAAGTTTACTCAACAAGTTCCGTAAACTGAAACAAGAGCCATCAACAATATAACATTAGTAAACACGTCAATAAAATAACCTTACAGCATATAAATACTAACACGCTGAACTTGACTTTTCAGCACCACACTACAGCTTAAACTCTTTCATCAAAGGTTACAAGAAAGAAAAGCTTAGCAAAAATAATCCATCCCTGTGCCGTATATTTCCATCTATTAAGAATTAATAATAATGAAAGTACTTCTAAGATCTTTTCCCTTTAGGAACGAACATCTACTTATTGGTACTAGTTAAACAAATTGAACTTTGAATTTGAGCAACGTCAAAGAATATTTTAACAGAATGCACTAGTGTTGAGTTCAGAAGTTCATCATGCAGCATCTGTAAACTGTAAAGTAACAATTACAAGGAAAATCTTTTAAACAGGCTATGCGCCACCACTTAGTTCGAAGTTTAGATTCCAAATGCTGAAAAAACTGACGAAGAAGAACAAAAAAGACAATGATAAGAAACACTACAGCAGACTTTCAGAAAACCTCCATATTCTCAAGACGGACAACGTATAAGTCATCAGATTCTGCTTCAGAGACAATTCCATCGTCTTTTTTTGGATCCTTCTTAAGCCGTGAACTTCATCTTCTCGGAAGAACCTTCTCTAATCTGTAAGTAAAAAACATTCCCCACCCAGAATGCCACATTAAAGGATACAGGAAAACCCAACCAGATGAAGTTTTATAAGCTAAAAATGGAGTATAAGGAACAAGATAAAAATTGTAATGTAATATATATGCTTAATATTTTTCCATCATGCTCAACGTTTTCAGCTAAAAATGGAGTAAAGGATACCTGGTCTTTCTCAAAATCCATGACCAGAAACGTGAAATGATCACATCCACTTTCTCCATGAAAAAATAATCAGTTGTCTTATCAATGCCGATCCCAAGCCGGATGATTATGTACTGAAAGAGAAAGATACATAAATATGACAGTCTTTACTACTCTCTCAGAATATATAATATACTTTAAAACAAACTAAATCACATTGTACAGCTTCTGTACATTAAAATGACAGGTGACTCATCATTCTACGGTTTGCAAAATTCCAATCACCAGTTATACCATACTAGCCTTGACCATTTTTATACATTGTATCAGGGGTAAGTAGATGAGATGAATAAAAGAATGTAACCAAACAAATACCGCAGAGAGGGGGGGCTATATAAAAGCGTTGAGCGGGATTCAAGGAACAGGTCAAACAATTGACAGCTTCTGTACATTAAAATGACAGATGACTCATCATTCTACTGTTTGCAAAATTCCAATCACCAGTTATACCATACTAGCCTTGACCATTTTTATACATTGTGTCAGGGGTAAGTAGATGAGATGAATAAAAGAATGTAACCAAACAAATACCGCAGAGAGGGGGGGGCTATATAAAAGCGTTGAGCGGGATTCAAGGAACAGGTCAAACAATTGAGAATTGGATCCGTTACAAAAATTAAAAAGATGGTTAAATTATACTATCAACTGGATAATGAAGATTCAAGTTAACAGGTATTTGTCCCATATGGTTTCTATACAATTTCACTGAAACTGTATTCCGGGTCTTTTTAAGATGATGTGGTTTTAGAGGGGCAGTAGAATAGATTCTGGTCAGTTATCTGAAGCCTACACCTATATGCCAAACATCTTTTGTAATCAATTGTTAAATTAAAGCAACCCTTCGAAACTAACCATCTCATAACTACAGTGCATATTCAAATAATATAAATTTGTATTCACTGTTATTTCTCTCTTCTAACTTTTACCTTATACCCTCATTATGGCTATATATACATATCTACCTTCGACCTATATTCTCTGCTTTAAATTAATATGACATGAAAACAGAGCACTCGCAATAACTCAGCGATATTGACAAGAATCTATTATTCAATTAGATATAAGTATAACAAGGGGAATATCCCCTTTCCCATTTATACACCTATGTAAACCTCCTGATTATCTTTAATGTCGTGAGAATATATCCACATTATAATTGGGAAATGAAGATATTTACTATTATCAATATCAAAATAACTGCCACGAAACAAATTCATCTAAAAAAACCTAAAGATCAAAACTTTAAAACAAAAAGATCTGAGATAGTAGTCCTAATTAATTACTCAAAGAAAGAGGGGTACCTTATCGGCAAAATCAGGAAGGTTCTCATGAGGATTAGATTCGAAGAAACTCTTCAAAAGCTTCTTATCAAGCTACACCCAGTAAAAAGTAGTTCTATGAACAAAATGGACGCAATATACCACATAATGATCAATGTGTTTACAATGGATAACCTTAGATTCATCAACTGTGATGGGCAGATTGAGGAGATACTGCCCTGAATGCGCAACCTCAATCTCTTCTTGAGTGGCTATTTTGAAATTGCTTTTCTTCATAACCTGCGTAGTAAAATAGAATAGAGAAAACAATGGGAAATAACTGCCATAAGAAAAGATTTACAAAGGGAGGCCTTAGATGCAAACGACTGCTGCATCCCCTATGCCCTCCTCCCAATGTAGGAGATCGAAAGTTTCATAGGAGAGCAAACAACATATCATAGAGCAACTGATGCAACCTGGTGTACCACCTAACAGGGTTGGGAGCCTTCTTGCATTAGAATCATAAATGATATGTAATGGTGAATGTGAGGGAAAATCACCCACAGGTATAACATTATAAAAATGTGAGCTTAGGGTTAACTAAACCTCTGAACTTTCTGGATGGGAGAAGAGCTCATATATCCGGATATACATATGTAAAATGATACCTGATATCTCAAGAAATTCTGCTCAAGAACGTCAATTTCATCTGAAGATAACCGCTGTTGCTACAATTTCTGAGTGCCATGGACAGGATCAAAGAGAGAGTACAGTTGCTGTAGTAATTGAACCAATCAAGGTTAAAAATGTAAGAGTAATAAACCTGAGCTGGTATGGTGTAGGATATAGATTTAATGAAAGATGATTAACGAGGCCATATATTACCATGAGGTCCTCAAACTGCAACATGTACCAAGCTCGGATTGTGTACTCCACTCTCTTACATAGTTTCAAAAACTCAGTACGATCAGAGCTATGTTCCACATGATCTACAGGTGAATTATGTTGGTTATAAAGGGTTTAAAATGACCAGTGACTAAGTCTCTCTCTATTTCTCTTGCTCACCCTTTTTTGCCTTTATTTCTTTCCTTACTCTTTCAGACCAATTGATACAGCGTCCTCAGTACTATATATATTCAAGAAATTAAACACACACACAAACACACAAGGCAAAAACTAAAAAAAAAAAAGGAGTGGATTGTTCATAATGGAGAGTCACAATTTGAAGAGGGTGGTGATAGATATACTCCACAATGAGAAATGTAACAAACAAACAACAAAATAAAATTATGCCTATCATCTTATTTTCCTTGACTGGGCATTCCTAGACCCTCATAACAAATGGAAAAATCGCACCAAATACAGTTTAAGCAAATACTTTGGGAGAGGAAGAAAGCAAATAACACGAGACTCAGATATTAGAATACCAATAAGGTTGGCCAAGTGGACGATGGGCCTTGGCTTGAGGACAGGTATGACGGATTCTTGTTCTATCCGGATCACGTCTTTGTTTTTCCTCGACATCGTCTTCTCCTCCGCTGTCGGCATCTATTCGATAACAATAATAAAAATTAGCAGAGGCAATAAAAACAATTGATTAATTTTATTCCTTTCTTTTCGCGGAGAGAGAGGGAGCATACATGGAGATTGAAATACATAGATTAAAGAAATGGGATTTTGTTTCTTCATCTGTTGAGATGCTCTACAAGCTAATCTCCAAGGATATTACAAAACGGCCGACATTTTTTAACGCTTGCGGTAAGACGGATTAATTAATGAATTGTGGGTGGGACACAACGTACAGAGACTGAGAGACAACAGTCGTCTACCCCAACGAGCTGCTGCTTCCCGGAGGAGCTGACATTCCTCCACCAATAATCCCATTACTAGTGTAGTTCCCGGCCAGGATTATCCGTTGGCCTGCTGCTGCTGATGTTCCATTGTAGCTGGCTCCTCGAGGTATTAACTCATTACATTCAGAGAGGACACTAAATAGAGTCCCATCTGAGTTTCTGCCATGCTGCCCGCTCACACCCACCTCAAGGGAAGATGGCCATCCATCCCTCGTTGTTCCATTGTTGTTGCATGTATTGTTATTGTTATTACCATTAAACCAGCTTTGACTCAACTGCTGCTGCTGCAACCGCATATTGCTGTTGACACCTGTCCACTCCTGCATAACACTTGCATCCTGCCTGGGGATCAAAAAATGGCCTCCAGGAAAAATACTACTACTACTCTCCTGAATGTTGTGATGATGTGGGTGCAGATGATTATCATTCGGTCTCTTTTGCCTCAAATCCAGAGGAAGAGGCATTGGATAAACCTGATCCCTAAACTGCCCAGGAAATGCCTCCACCAGTACATCGTTGTTCCCAGGCTGGAACCCTAAACCCTCCGATTGCTTTTGCTGCCGATTGTACGCTGAATCACGAAGAGAATGATATATTTCGTTTCTGTTCAGGTTCACGTAAGAATCAAACAAAGGCATATCCTTCCCACCACTACTAACATCTTTATCCCGACTGTCAATCTCCATGTCATCAAGCAGTTTCACTTCTTGCCCAGTAATAAATTGCTGCGGATGATTCCCAATCGACAGCTCTTGAGGAGCAGGCAAATATCTAGCATTCATGGAGTCATGATAATAAGAACCATGAACATCACCCACAGGCCAAATATCACCATAGGATGGGAGTGGATCCACCACAGGGTACTCTGATGGAATTGAAGAGAACCATTTTTCTTGATTAACAGAACAATTTTTCTGCTCATAAAAACCAGGGCTGGGAGACGATATCATAGTTCTCCTAGGGCTATTATTATTAAGTGATGCAATCAACTGTTGTTGATTATTATCCTCAATGAAAACTTGGTTGGGAATGTCTTCATCTACAGTCAGTTTTGAATCATCATGTGTTTGCTCATATATGTAGTCGCACACCAATTCCTTCTCATCCTAACAGTTACAGATAAAAATGGAAAGAAACAAATAATTTAATTTCAATACTTTATATAAAAAATGCTTGATTTGGGATAAGAGACCCTAAACCACAGAATAAGGTGTGGTAATAGTACAGACCTCTGCTTTTGTTTCCATCAGATGAATTGCATCTTCATTGTCCTCCCGCTCCTGAACCAAATCGCCTGATTGCTCTTCATCCACCTCCTGTTCACAAACATAGGAGTTCCAAAAAACCCACATGAAGAACATTCTATAATGTTACATCCAATGAAGAAAAGAATATTGAGCCTAAAATGAACAATTTCTCAAGCAAATTTCAAATTCATACTATCCAGATATGAAGAAAGAGAGCAGCTCAGACACCTCAGCTGTGATTGGAGGCAGGAACTCATCTTCATTATCATCTGAGAGGTCCATTTGCTCATTCGGAGAACCCTTTTTCTCCTCATCCAGAGTAGTCTACAAGAAAGTGACATGCAATATTTTGCAGCATGTGAAAATTCTCCCAAAGATATGGAGAATGCCATAATTGAAATTAACTTCACGTGGTGCAGAAAAAAACATCAGAGTACAAAACCTGAAGCTCCAGCTTTTGTCCTATTTCTTCACCCAAGGACCGTGCTAGCGCTTGTTTTTGTAATTCTCTCTTTACCCAGTGAGCAAAACCTTCAGGGACATCTGAAGTAGCCAATTTCAACCTACAAAAATAACATTATTGCGTAAGGTCATGATCTTACTGAAGTTTATAGCTGTTACTGGAAATAAAACATCAAACAACCAACCAATGTTGATGCAGCTTTTTCTTCTCCTCCTCCACAAATCTTTCATAAGGTTGAACATTTAGAGCATCAGTACCTAAAAAATTATTTAAAGACCTTGGATGAAAGCAATTAGAAGCATTCTTCATGCTGCTTTTTACGCGTTCGTGCTGTTCTCTGCTGACCTGAAGAACCAAATACATAGAACTAGTATAAAAGAGATATCCAAAAAAAAAAAAGCATCCCACGCAGGAATAAGACAGTATGAGAAACTGTGCACTACTGGGAAAAACACAAGAACCAAAGCCAAAATGAAGGTAAAAAGAAATCCAGAAACAGGCTGAATTAAAAGGGGTAAACAATGGTTAAGTCCAGCAGTATGGCAAAGATTAAATGAACAATGCAGTAGTGAATGAAGTATTTGCCAAACAACCTTGATGTAAGACATATATTTGGTTCCATCACTTTGCTGGATATTCTGCTTGTGTACCTGTTCCCCTTTTCTAGATACAGAAGTCACCGCCTTTAGCTCACTTAAGGAATTATCAGATTTTTTTCTCAAGAAGCCATTTCTGCGTATTTAAAGCAGATAAAAACTCAGAGTTATTGCCCCTCAAAAACATGGAGTAAAAAAGGTGATAAAGAAAAGGAACAAACGTAAAGATGAATAGGAAGAAAGAAATTTTTTCTTCCAACATGCAAAGATATATGATGGTCATTTAAGCAATAGGGGTGAAAGAAAACTGCTGCAAGTTAAACCAACATTACCCCCTCTTGGACTCTCCTCGGACGGTTCCTAAGTTTTGGTTGTCGCTACTATATGCTACCTCGGAATTATTCCAAGAGCAAGACTCGGGTGTGGCAACAAGGTTCTCTTCATTATCGTTGACTCTACTCTCCAGCAAAAGCACACTTTTTTCCCCAGGCCGTCTAGAACTGCATATACAACATTTACCATTAAAACTCATAATTTTGCCCAAAAACAAAAGGCTATGACTGAAGATGAAAGTAGAACCATCATAAAACTAATTCTCACTGAGAACCCACACAAATTAATGAATAGATTATGAACCAAAAGGAAAGCACATCTCAATCATAATGAAAAAAAAATATATATNAAAAAAAAATATATCTTATACAAGTAAAGCTCAGAAGGAGGGACCTCCATAAATTCTGCACAATTTCCTCTTCAGGGTCTTTGCAACTAGCCCACTTTTCCTTCCACTTCTCCAAATTCACAATCATACTGGTATTGACGCACAACAGTACAGTCACATGACAACAACAAATGCGATGTTGAAAAGTTAATATAACATCAAACAACACTTAAAGTTAAGATTGTATACCATGAGTGATACTTCTGTAAATCCAAGTAATATGCCTTCTTGACAGCTTTGAGAGACGGCTCCTTGTGAAGGATATTATCAGGGTGAAGCTCCCCATAGCAAAGAGAAGATCCCCTGAAGCAACAAAGTGTAGACCATTGGAACACTGACTAACCAACAACACACCTAACTTAGCATAGTTTAATACGTCCATCAATCTGAAAGCATGCTCTTTATATCTATGTAGACTAAGAACCTCAATTGTGGTAAACAATTGTTAAATAGTCTAAACTGAATGGAACTTTAAAGATAGTATATCGTTCAGGCCACATATTTGGGAATCCTAGCATTTTAAAAGCATTATTATAGGAGGTTGCAACAATATTCTTCTTAAAGTTTCCACAGAAACTTCAAATAGCTCATAAGCTTTCAAAAATATGTTTTGAGGAGCCTATTTCACAAACAGTTTCAACAAGTAACACTGCAACAGAAATGGAAGCTGATTTACTCTCTCTCTCTCTCTCTCCATATATATATATATAGGACTTCGCATTGTGTAACTTACAAAGAATAAACAACTATGGTGACCCATACAGTTAAACAACTAGTAGCTTCTTTACAGATAATATGGTACCAAGTGAAATCTTGCAAAAGATTTTAAGCAAATCACTAGAAGAATTCGCATGTGCTCAAAAGCATGTATGATAATGACAAGTACAAAAAGCGATGTCACACCATCACATTAGTAATCTATTTAAAAAAAAAAAAAATATCCCGATTCTGACAGTAGATAAAGTCCATGATCTTTGGGTGCAGTTTTGATACAGAGTCAACAACAGATTGATTACTTCAAAGCAAATTAGATATGGGAAAAAATGAGAAGTCTTCCTCGACTGAAGATATTTATTTTCCATGGCATGAAGAAGAATAACAATCCAACAAGGTGCACGTGCAGAATTATGTATTAAAAAAATTACAAACAAAAATTAGAAACTTTCAACAGATTGGAAGTTCTAATTAGTATATTGATCATTCTGTCCAACAACATACAACTAACTCAGTAACAACACAACGCAACAGAATACTTGCAAGACTTACCATTTTATAAAAGGATTTCCAAATTGGAAGTCTTCCCCAGCAAGCAAGTCTTGAATAATTATATCTGGTTCAGGCACTTTCGGAAGGAACTGTGAAAGAAAGTATCTTTCAGTGTCGGACAAATTACTCTGCCAGACCTGCAACAAAATCCACATGAATGTATGAGTCTCAACATGAGAATGAAATCACCTTAAGTCTGTAATTCCCCGCCCCAACAGAATAAATTAACAGTTACCTCATACGTGAGAACCTCACGCAGATTTTCTAATTCAAATATCTCCTGAGGAACAGAGCAGACATCAGCCAAAACGCTGTGGCCAGGAGAACCAGGCTCAAGAAATGAAATCAAGTGCCTCCGTGCAATACCAATCTGCCCCCTCTTTGATACTACAGTTTTTTTCTTGTTATCCCACTCAAGAGAAATGTTCGGCATCATGTTAACACCGTGTTTCTGAACTCTAAGTTTCTTCCTGTTCACCTTACATTGCCCACGAGAAGTACAGCCCACTAAACTAGCAGCATTTGCTCGCTTTTTCCGCTGATCAGCTACCATTTGGCCAACTCAAATTGCTCTACAACAGGATTTCCCAAAGAAAATCAAATTGTAGGACTTAAGGTCATTAGAAATCGGTTGAAAAACAATTTATCTCAAGAAATTTCCACATTCAGAAAATAATACCAAAAGCTTTGACATATCACATTAATCATTCTAGAATATCTCCAAACGGTGCCCAATATGAGCAATCAAGGGAAGAAGGTATGAATTCTAATACGCATGGGAATTCAATAATTCACACAACTAGTATCCAACTCACATGATTATCTGAATGAGAAATTCAAGTCACACTTCGAAAGCCTATTATATATGGCCACATCGAAATTATACAAAATATAAACACAGCATCATGGTTTGATTTTTCACGGCAAATGAGAGCCCCGAGTCAAATTCACGAAGAAGAAGAACAAAGATAAAACGAACATAATTCAATTACACAACAATTAACTCCAATCTAAAGATCCAAATTTAGGCCAACAATAAGGATTAGAGGTCTCAGCCTTTTACCTCTTCAAAGTTTCGAAAAGGAAATAGACAAAGGCTAGACTAGCAGGCTCTCGGTTCCGGGACAACAACTCGAATTGCTGCAACCCGGTGTCCCGCTGCTCACGGCCTGGACTGGTTGAGTCTCCTCGACTGCTCGGTTGCTGCTCGGAACCGGCGAGGCGCTGTAGCGGCAGCCGGAGGGTGCTGCAGCGGTTTCCCGTGCGTTCTCGCTGACGGAGGTTGCTGATGGGTCGCTGCTTTCCTCGACGGGGCTCGGCTGAGACTTCCGGTGGCTCTGCCCTCGGGGGCGGGGTTCTATTCGAACAAGGGCAGTTGCTCTTGGTCTCGTCACGTCGGTGTGAAGGTTGTTGTGAGACGCCGGCGAGAAGAGAAGCTCGCCACGGGGCTGACGGAGGTGTCGGGGTGCTCGAGACAGCCGCTGGTCGTAGGGGCTGTTGAAACAGAATTTCTCGGCGACGGCTGGCAGGGATCGATGAACAGGTGCTTCTCGCGGTGACGGCTGGCCGGAAATCACGGCGGTGCTATGCCTCGCGGCGGCGATTGCAATTAACGCCGTCGAGAAGGGAGGGGTTCGCTGGTCGCCCGTCCTTCAAAGGTGAATGCGCGCGATTGCTGGGATTCGACTCTCGACGGCCGAATTCTGGGAGAGGAGGGTGATATCTCGGCGGCTGCTCGAATCTTGTGCGAGAAGAGAGGGCTGATGGGCGTGGTTGCGAGAGAGGAGATACGGTTGCGGCTGAATTTTGGGGAAGAAGATAGGTTTCCTCCTTCTATCCTGATGCGGCTGATTTAAAAAAAGAATTGACTTGCCATTTGGGCCTAAAGGAAATTTGGGCCGGAATTAATTCCTACGGGCCAAAATAAATAAAATTAAATAGGCCGAGGAAATAACTCTAGAAAGGCCGATCCCTCTCAAGCACAAACAGCCCAGTTTTGTGAGCTAAAATAGATCGATTTTAGCAATGACTTGGGTTGAAAGAATAAATTCAAGGTTCAGGTCCAAATGGCTCGAAAACGAATCGAAACGGATTTAAATTCGGTTTCCGCGATTAAACCAAAAATCACCGAAGCAAATTCAAAATTCAAAACAAAATACATATAAATAATATATAAAACACATATTTTCACATAAATAAAGCCACATAGCATTTAAATAATAAGCAGCTAAAAGAGATGAACAGTTAATACAATAACCGGCAAATAACAAAACAAGGCAAATATTCATTTATAAGCAATTAGATAATAATAATATTCGGGAAAATTCTAATAAACGAATGGGGCGCTACACTGACTTACAAAATTGAAGAATTAGTCCTCTAAAATCCCATAAATGTGGTTCAGGAACTCATTGTTGTAGGCGGAACTGCACAAATGATCACAACTTCCTAATCCTCTATAATGAAATAGAAATTAACTTTAACAAGTAAATGCATCAACCACACAAACTAAGTTGACTAGCAAAAAAAGATGATATCTTTAATCTTCCAAAGGTAGTTACAAGCAAATCTAAGAATAAGGCTACAATTGCATGCAAACAGTATCGCAATTATGCAGCACAATTCAGGGGCAGGTGATTATATAAGAACATAACGCCCTAATGGGCAATTACAGGTTCATCCTCGAGGAGAAAAAGAAAAGGACGAAGAATCAATGGGATAATAGATTTGAACTGAGGCATGAAAAACAATCCATCTTCAACGTACAAAAATAAAAATAAAAATAACCGCAATACAATTTCTGAGAAATAGCAAACTATAGAAGCAAGAGAAAAAAGGAAAAACTTACAAGATATAATAGAAGAAAGGAAAGCCCTAGAAATTGAAGCAGCAGTCGAAGAGAAACGAGCACCTGTGACGGAGGCGCAAATAACTCAAAGCCAATAATATTAAAATATGTGATTACACACAAACACACAGTTATAGAGCTATATGGAGAAGGGGGAGGGCGCGGCGTGCGTATCTGAGTGTGGGTAAAGAGGAGAGACGATAAACAGAATAGGGAGGAGAGAAAGGAGTCAATGAGTGGAATTATGGTTCTGAAAACTGAACCAGTCATAGAAACCGGTGAACCTACTGGTACAATGGTTCACTGGTCGGACTAGCAGTCGAATCGGTCAAAACTTTTATTAATATATAATTTTTTATTTATTTTTATATGTATAATATATAATTATATATATTTTATTATATTTTATTGTATATGACATTTCTCTAAATAAGAGTTCAATAATATATACAACCGACAATGTTGAATATTGTTGTTAACTTTTTTCCTTATTTTAGTTTAATTTTTAAAATTTTAATCTATATTTTAATTAAATTTACAAAATAGAGAGAATAGAAACAACTCAAATTTCTTTTTAAATCAGATTTTAAATTTATTTATTATTGATTATAAAAATAAAAAATAAAAATAATGTGCATAACAAAAAACTATAAAATAAATTGCTTCTTTCTTTAAAAAAAAATGGAATAGATATAGCCCAATAGATAATCCACTTCAAATAACAATACATTTTTTTAATGAGTACAATTTTGCTTGTTAGGCCCAATATTGGCCCAATAATTTGAGAAAGGAAACATATCTCACATAGAAAATATAAAAAAAAGTGTGCTATTTAATTTTAAACCACTTCACAATCTAGCAAGTTTAAATTCATAAGCTTGAACCGTTGAACCATTCGAACCGATCCCGGTTCATCGGTTCAACCGGTTTTGAACCGGTTCGAACGGTTCTTGACCGGTTCTCCTGCATAGCGGTTTGAAGTCTTAAACTGGACCAGAATAAAGGCCGGTTCCCGGGCCAACCAGTTGAACTGGCCGGTCCGGTTTTCAAAACTATGAGTGGAATTTGACAGATGCAAAATAAAAATACACATAGTTATATTGATCATGTTGTAAAATCTGCAATATAATTGCTTTAAATTTTAACTATTTTAAAAAAATATTGTATTGTTATTTATTTAAAATTATATCACTTGTACTGTTGTACAATGTATTCATCTTATTTAATGATTTTCCTTAGCATAAATGCAATATAAATGTGATTTTTCAAGCTTAATCAAATATTTATAATTTTTAAAAAATTTAGTAAGTATGAATTGAATGTCATATATAACTACTTCAGCAAGAGTTAGACACATAAGAGCGTGATAGAGCACCTATAATAGCTCTATGAATCGATTAGAGTGGTTAGCTCGGGTGAATCGGTCCAAGATAGCTTCTAGTTCGGCAGCAGGGGTTGACTAGGTTAAGGGGCTAGATATAACAGCTCATGGTACAGGTCAACTTTGGTTGCGAGCTAGCAAGTTGGGCTTAGCCTGGAGCTCTCAACTAGAGAAGGGTAGGTGACGTAGGCAGAAGCGTACGAGTGAGACGATATTAATGAAATAGCAATCTCAAGAACACCAGGTCAGGGCCGCTGGTGATGGTGAAGACGCGGCAGACGATGAGGATACACACAGTCGCAGTGGCGTCGGATGCCGGTCGGAGGTGGTGACGATGAGCAGCACGATGTCTCCGGCGGTTGTGACAGTGTCCGACAGCCGTGGGGCTACTTCAGACGCCGCCGGTCGTGGTATTGGCGGCAGAGGTACACTGTGCCCAAGTATGCAAGCATTAATCGCATGTCGAGCAGATCCCTTCGCTACATACGGTGGTTGTGACATGTTGCGATAGGGCCCGATCTTCGTGGACGACGACGATCAGAGCGACGACAGAGGCAGGCGCGATGAGGCTGCCTTCACCGGCGGATGTCGTGTTCGACACGATTGGGGACTTGAGAGTGATTGCGTCGGCTTCGCGGGGTTCGACCGGCAGCGACGCGGTTGGGACATCGGGCACGACGCAGCGCACTTTGATGACAAACAACTGCGGCGGGGTTGGAACCTACAACACGACGGCGTTGCGAGAGATTGACAGTAGCGGCGTCCGACAGACGTTGGCGATGAGTCGCGATGAGAGGGCCCGTTTCTTGAAACCCTGAAACTCGGAGCCCTGAACCCTGAACCCTAAACCCTAAAACCATAAAACTCTAAACCTTATTAAACTTTGAACCCTTATTGAACCCTAAACCCTAAACCCTGAACCCTAAACCTTTATTAAACCCTGAATCAACCCTCGAACCCCCGAGCCCCGAACCCTGAACCCTCAACCAAATACTACCATTGGTGATTAAACAATCAAAATCAAATTGGACTCTTGAAGCTACTCAATTGGTAAAGTTGTTGATGATAGACTAGGCAAATTTTAATCTGCTCAAAACTTCATAATGTGACTATCTTGAACATCATTTAGTGTTTTTTACTCTATGTACTCCTTCCTCTAACATAATGTTCTTATGGGAGGATATGTTTTCATTTCATTCTTGAAAAAGTCATTGTTTATCAAAAGAGTTTAGTTTATTGTGAAAGTTGATTTTAGGTCCTGTGCTTATTATGGATTGAGAGATTGGTTTTCTTTATTCNTTATTTTATTTTATTTTAATTAGAATTAACTAAATTATATTATTCGAATTTAACTTGATTTATTATATTTTATTTTATTATTTAGGTATCTTAATTTTATTTATATTATTTTTACAATTTAACTTATTTTATACTTTGGTTAAGTTTTTTATTATTTCAGTTTGATTTTATATATATTTATGTTTTAGTTAATTTTTATTATTTCAATTTGTTTTTTAATATTTATTTATTTTACTATATTATTTTTATTTTATTTAATCTACTATAGTTGTTGTATTTATTTCATTATATCGTCAGTTGGGCTAGGCTATTTTGCATTGGAATTGTTGGTTGTTCGGTGGGCTATGATGATCAGTTTGGCCAGTTATGTATTTAGAGATAATTACCCACCAGACGATAACATTTAATCATATCTCTCCTTCTACGAGGCTTCATTTTTATTCGCATTTAGACGATTTCTTTCACTGATTATCCCTTTCTGAATTTCTTCTCTCTTTCATTCGTATAGACAAGATCTGAAATTTCCATTCAATATTTTTCTTCTAAAGTCCAAAATTCTCAAACCCCAAACAAGCAACTAAGCAAAGCCAGACAAGATCTGCCGTAGCCGTAGCCACATCGCCGCGAACAAAGCAGATCTTGGCCGTTTTTCCGGAGGCCTTCAATCAGAATCTGTCGTCGGCTCCCTCCAGGATTTAGTCCCCCCTTCGCTCCGCCGCGCCGAGTTGCGACACGCCTCCGCCTGCTGCGTTCGACCCTTGGAGATTGAACCGCCTAACCTTCGACCTTCTCTGCCTTCAACGAAGCGAGAAGAAAGGCGCCCGCCCAAGCGGCAATGCTTCCACAGGTCAGCTACAATTGGTAGTTTCAGATCTAGCAAGATCCAACTTTCGGGTAGATTTTTAAGATAGTTTTTTTCAAGTATATGTATTGGGATTTTATGGTTTATTTTGTTGATTTTTTATTTTTTTTTTCTGATTGAATGTTTTGTGTGAATTGATAGTTTGTATGTTTATGTATGGTTTTTTATGGTTTATTTATGGGTTTTTGTATGTTAGCCGGCTAAATTATAATTTAGCTTTGTATTGTCTTTGACAAATAAACTATATATAAACATGAAATAATCTAATTTATCTAGTGATCTTATTCTACTCAGTTTTTGCTTAATTTTGAGAATGAATTTTTGTTTTAGTTTGTTTATTTCTAGTTGTATAATGATTTATAATTGGTTTTTCTCCAATTCCTTACTTTTTGTCAAATATTTCGAAGGTATTTCTGTTCTGTGCAAACATCAGATCAGGAGATAGAAAATCTATCTCGAAAAAAAAAAAGCATATTCTTGAACATTGTTTTATCATATAATCTCACCACTGGTGATTCTTTTTTTCTTTTTTAAATTATTGCGATTCCTACAATTGAGAGAGAGAGAGAGGGAGAGGAGTTTATTACCATAATGAATTCATCATCTTCGTATCTGAGACAAATTAATTTTAAAATTCTTATTAAAGTGCAATTAAGTTTAATTGGTCGTATATGTGTAAAATCTTTCCAAACAGTGCATAGATGCGTAAATTAGCCTTCTATTTAACTCAAAGATGGGCCCATAATTTGAAGGTTGCATAGCCAGGGCCCAAAACAACTAAGTCCAGTGGTATTAGAAAAAAGGGAACTCGTAATTCCGTGTAAATCCAAAAGCAGCATCATATAATACTAACAATTAGGTGATGGCAGTTTATTTTTTTCTTCAATATAGATTATTAAAAAACTAGATAGTAACACACATGTGAGCCGTCCAAACTTAAATGATCAAAATAACAATGGGAGTAACTAAGATACACAAAACAAGCAGTGTCAACGCATATTATTCCACTTACAACCAAGTTTATCTTCCTCAAACAAGTAGTTGAGGCTTTCAAGAATATCTTGTATCTTAGAAACATATCAGCCGTAAGGACACGAAAAATTTATCTCTTTGCATTATGCTATTTTCTTGTCAGGAATAATTGTGTTCAGATGTTAAATCAACAGGTGAGACATACTATCATGATGTGTCATACAAAAAACATACTATGAATTATGTTATTGATAGTAACCACAACCAACAAAAAAAGGGAACAACAGGTCAACTCATGGACTTAGAAAAAAAAATCTTAATTTTCCAATTTCTTGTTTCCTCCTGACTAGGGATAGAGAATTAAGATATCATTACAGTATTTGATATGTTTAGCAAACTCCAAAGGCACTTTAATAGAGAAAACAACAGAAAATCCACAGCAAGGAAAACAACATACAATGGAAGAAAGCAATCTAACAAATACAAATAAAAGGAGGATGAACCTAGAGATGCAACTTGTTTGCGAGTGGAAGAAGTACAAATGTTTGTGTTCCTCCTCGTATAATTCCTTCAAAGCCATGTTTTAAATACCGTACCGTATCGGCCGGTATTACTGGTAATACTGGATACCGGTAGTCCGACCGGTACGGTTACACTCTTAATACCGTTTTGGCCAAAATACCGGTTTATACCGGTTTCATACCGGAAAATACCGGTTTTACCGGCAAATACCGGCCAAAATACTGGTTTATGCCATTTTTTAAAAGAAAATATTTTAATAGATTTTTATTAATTTATTTATATAAAATAAAAATTCTACACTTAATTTTCATATGTTTACATTGTTATTAGATATTAATTAATTTAAGTATTAATTAAAGTTTGTTTTGTACATTATTTATATTATAATGACAAATTAATTTAATATTAAAACCGTAAAATAGGCGGTAAAAACGGTTGAACCGCGTACCGTTGGCTCGCCCGGTATGATTACCGGTACGATATTTAAAACACTGCTTCAAAGGAATTGGAAACTGTATTGCAATGGAACTGTTCCTCCTCATAATCAAATGGAACTCACACAGCTATGAAGTATGACGTGACTTAATCATTTGGAACTGTTCCTGTGCTCTTTGTAAACTTGCTTTAACTTCGGATGTAGTTTCATTCTTCAGCATCTGAAGCTGCCTCTCATGCTTATCCTGGAAATTTTCAGCAAAGTATGAGCTTAATTTAGTTGTCAAGAAGAAAAACGAAAAGAAAAGACTTAACAATAATCTATACTTAGTAAACAATATATACGCCTGGGTGCATGGCACTTGAGAAAAACCAAAGCCTGAAAATAGATCTGGGCTGCACACTATCAAATGCTTGATAAGCAACAACAAAACATGCTCGCCAACCAAACGTGTTTTGTTTTGTAAGCTAGTCACTTAACAGACAACAACCAGGCCTAAATTAAGAAAACTAATTACTTCTTTTCCATTTTCAAAAACACCCAAAGCATTAAAAATTATATATGAGCAGACAATTTTGACAACCTTTACACCATTTAACATTCTCTATAGTATCTATAAAATTTCTACAACCATATAACTATACAGGGACATATGCAGTCCATACTGTTTATGATGCAACATGGTTCGCTTATCAAGGGAAAAAATATTTTTCAAAATTGCTTAACTACAAGCATGGTTTCAACTCAAAGAAGGCTCTAATTTTACCTTTTTGAACCAATCCGTGCTTCAGCCGTTAACTTCTTCTCCAATTCCTTCCAAGATAATTCCGTAAAAGTTAATCATGACATTAACCTCAAATGCCAAAACTAAAGGTTACTATTATACAACTGAGTCTTAAATCTCTAACCCAAAATATTTTTCAAGTGGTAAGTACATATAAATTAAAATTTAACAATAGAACACAAGAAATAGATTTAATGAAAGATGATTAACGAGGCCATATATTACCATGAGGTCCTCAAACTGCAACATGTACCAAGCTCGGATAGTGTACTCCACTCTCTTACATAGTTTCAAAAACTCAGTACGATCAGAGCTATGTTCTGCATGATTTACAGGTGCATAATGTTGGTTATAAAGGGTTTAAAATGACCACTGACTAATTCTCTCTTTGTTTCTCTTGCTCACTCTTTTTTGTCTTTTTTCCTTTCCTTACTCTTTCAAACCAATTGATACAGCGTTCTCAGTACTATATATATTCAAGAAATTAAACACACACACAAACACACAAGGCAAAAACTAAAAAAAAAAGAAAAAAAAAGTTGATTGTTCATAACGGAGAGTCACAATTTGAAGAGGGTGGTGATAGATATACTCCACAATGAGAAATGTAACAACCAAACAACAAAATAGAATTATGCCTATCATCTTATTTTCCATGACTGGGCATTCCAAGACCCTCATAACAAACGGAAAAATCGCACCAAATACAGTTTAAGCAAATACTTTGGGAGAGGAAGAAAGCAAATAACACAAGACTCAAAGATTAGAATACCAATGAGGTTGGCCAAGTGGACGATGAGCCTTGGCTTGAGGAAATTCTTGCTCTAGCCGGATCACGTCTTTGTTTTTCCTCGACATCGTCTTCTCCTCCGCTGTCGGCATCTATTCGATAACAATAATAAAAATTAGCAGAGGGAATAAAAACAATTGATTAATTTTATTCCTTTCCTTTCGCGGAGAGAGAGGGAGCATACATGGAGATTGAAATATATAGATTAAAGAAATGGGCTTTTGTTTCTTCATCTGTTGAGATGCTCTACAAGCTAATCTCCAAGGAGATTACAAAATGGCCGACATTTTTTAACGCTTGCGGTTACGACGGATTAATTAATGAATTGTGGGTGGGACACAATGTACAGAGACTGAGAGACAACAGTCGTCTACCCCAACGAGCTGCTGCTTCCCGGAGGAGCTGATATTCCTCCACCAATAATCCCATTACTAGTGTAGTTCCCGGCCAGGATTATCCGTTGGCCTGCTGCTGCTGATGTTCCATTGTAGCTGGCTCCTCGAGGTGGTAACTCATTACATTCAGAAAGGACACTAAATAGAGTCCCATCTGAGTTTCTGCCATGCTGCCCGCTCACACCCACCTCAAGGGAAGATGGCCATCCATCCCTCGTTGTTCCATTGTTGTTGCATGTATTGTTATTACCATTAAACCAGCTTTGACTCAACTGCTGCTGCTGCAACCTCATATTGCTGTTAACACCTGTCCACTCCTGCATAACACTTGCATCCTGCCTGGGAATCAAAAAACGGCCTGCAGGAAATATACTACTACTACTCTCCTGAATGTTGTGATGATGTGGGTACAGATGATTATCATTCGGTCTCTTTTGCCTCAAATCCAAAGGAAGAGGCATTGGATAAACCTGATCCCTAAACTGCCCAGGAAATGCCTCCACCATTACATCGTTGTTCCCAGGCTGGAACCCTAAACCCTCCGATTGCTTTTGCTGCCGATTGTACACTGAATCACGAAGAGAATGATATATTTCGTTTCTGTTCAGGTTCACGTAAGAATCAAACAAAGGCATATCCTTTCCACCACTACTACCAACTTTATCCCGACCGTCAATCTCCATGTCATCAAGCAGTTTCACTTCTTGCTCAGTAATAAATTGCTGCGGATGATTCCCAATCGACAGCTCTTGAGCAGCAGGCACATATCTAGCATTCATGGAGTCATGATAATAAGAACCATGAACATCACCCACAGGCCAAATATCACCATAGGATGGGAGTGGATCCACCACAGAGTACTCTGATGGAATTGAAGAGAACCATTTTTCTGCTGATAAAAACCATTTTTCTTGATTAAGAGAACCATTTTTCTGCTCATAAAAACCAGGGCTGGGAGACGATATCATAGTTCTCCTAGGGCTATTATTATTAAGTGATGCAATCAACTGTTGTTGATTATTATCCTCAATGAAAACTTGGTTGGGCATGTCTTCATCTCCAGTCAGTTTTGAATCATCATGTGTTTGCTCATATATGTAGTCGCACACCAATTCCTTCTCATCCTAACAGTTACAAATAAAAATGGAAAGAAATAAATAATTTAATTTCAATACTTTATATAAAAAATGCTTGATTTGGGATAAGAGACCCTAAACCACAGAATAAGGTGTGGTAATAGTACAGACCTCTGCTTTTGTTTCCATCAGATGAATTGCATCTTCATTGTCCTCCTGCTCCTGAACCAAATCGCCTGATTGCTCTTCATCCACCTCCTGTTCACAAACATAGGAGTTCCAAAAAACCCACATGAAGAACATTCTATAATGTTACATCCAATGAAGAAAAGAATATGGAGCCTAAAATGAACAATTTCTCAAGCAAATTTCAAATTC